GGATAAGTGGTTTATATAATGTATGAATAGCAAATGGATTATGTGTCGTCAACTAAAAAGGGGCACGATGGTCAAAAATATTGCATTAACAAACGGATTATTGTTATTCCGGTTCAACAATTATTGAGGTAAAAAATTATCAGGCTCATTAAAAATTGTCTAGTGGCTAGATACAGTAATTCCATTAATTATCTCTCCACTTTCAATTCAATTATTTGAAAATACATTTAAAAAATTACGATATAACTAGAGCTAGAAACATAATGTGCAAATACTGTCTGTCTTCCCAACTTTTCATCAAAATGAGTTTAATGATGAGTCCAATTTGAATTCCAAACATGAAATTGCAATTGCCCAACATTTTGCCCTACTATGCACCTTGAAAAAGATATTTAGAGAGATGTTTGCATCTGTTAAAGACATAATGGGTAAGACACTAAGTCACCTCACTGTCATTGTGCACCAGTCCCCTTGTGTCGTACATCCAGCCGCACTAGCAGCAGAAGCAACAAAACCATTCTGGAAGTAAAATGAAGCGAGGATGAAATAAAAGTGGACGAAAGACAGGATCAAAATAAAAACAGGCCCTGTGGAAGACATAATTTTCAGAGATGGGTGACCTCATTAAACCATTAAACTACAAAATGACTAAAAACAGACAGCCCTGATAACACTCAGAATACCCTGATACAATATTTACCTTAAATTCAAATGTGACCATTGCTGGTATAAACGTCTTAATGGCGTTGTGCAGGTGTGTTGCTAGGCTTTTGGGTGGCCTGTCCGGACATACTAACACATGGAAGTGCAAAGCAGCCTGAGGAAGAGGGGAGTGAGTCAGCCTGTAAACAGCCACTTGATGTTATCCAGCTGCCATGTAAACTGATCTAGTGCCCGGCGAGTTCAAGTCCAGTGTCACGTCCAGAGCAGATGCAAACACGACCGGAGCTTGGCCTCGTAAAACCAGCTGAAACACACGAGCTCGACCCGCGTTACGACCCGCGATTAAAACTAGCGCGACCGTTTCAACACACGGTAAACTCCCCGATAAGACATAGAAAGTGAAGACGCGACAAGCATAGTAAAAGCTAAGATCCGGCCACGCGTACAGCAAAGGGACCAGGCCCGGTTGGAAAATTGATCTTCTTGAATGAAGGATATGGGGGATCACCGCAGCACAGGCCCATACGGACACAGTCAACACGGCCACAGCTGACATTTACTGCGTGTATTTAAAGGGTGAGAAGGCCCCACGGGTAATGTCGTATTTGTGACATCACCTGGATTTCATTGCAAGTGTTTTGTTTTGTTGAAAGCAGGTTTAAAGGGAATGAGAAATGTGGAAGGTGTATGAGATGGTAGGAATGAACAAAGATTCCCTCACAATCCTGTGGAATTTGTTTGGGTAAAAGTTGCTTTGTAAAGTGATATGACACAAGTTGATATCGTGATCCAGGTAAGTATGGAGTCAGAAATGTGCTCAAATATTATTGATACAAAAAATAAAAAACACAAACGTGGAGAATAGATCATGTACAGAGAGGAATGTGTATCAACCTGGCAATAATCAACTAGCATTACAGAGGTATATTTGGCAACAGCTGCTCAGTTTATAAGCTATGCCCAAATCCCAGTTTGCAAGCCGTTTTTACGACCATGTAATATTATTCCTGTGTAACCCGTTATCCAATGATAATATTGATATTCTAACAAAAACAACAAAAATAGAATACCAAAAAAGTTACAAAATGTCTAATATGAAAATTACATGCAAAAGTTTCACCTCCCAAAAGTGCGCTACTACCTTTCTATTCATAATTCACCACCTTGTCTCCATGGGCAACGGTACACGTCTGGGGTCATTTATTTAAGCAATGGTGAAAACAAAAAGATACAATTCCTACGGGCAACAAAACTAATCTCTATTTGAGTCATGGGTAAAGTGATTCCCCTTACTAATTCTTAATATAATGCTTCTAATCGTTAGGGCTGGATGAGATTTATGAAGAAACAAGATTTATGTAACAGAATGTAACCATTTTAATTTCTAGATCAATACAGTATGTAGTGCAGCAGTCTATCATTGCTTTCCCAATATGATCCCTTGTTTGTGCCATCTTGACTTTTGCTTCTACAAACACACATTAATAGTATGGGATGTAGACTAATACTGTTTTCCTTATTTTATTATATTTGATAAATCAGAGCAAATAATATCATGCATTTTTACAACCTTAGCAAAAACCAACACCTCTTGCCCTGATCCGTGTGAGTATGGCGCCTCTTCTGCACCTCTGTGAGTGATAAAAGCTGCTATTAGGAACCAGAACCAACACTCCTGACCTGCTTTGTCACCCGAGACCTTTCCGAGCTTTTGAAGATGCTAATTTAATCATTAAGGAGTTTATAGCATGACTCCCGGTAGAACACTCTATTATGTCGCCTATACTGAATTTACATTTGTGAAGAAAGAATTTTTTGTATAGCGAGGTGGACAATTCATCAGTAAAAGGTAATGATTCTTAAAAAGAGCAGGGAAAATAGGGATGAAACCTGCAACTTCCATAAATACAATTTACTAAAGTGCTGATTTTAAGCATCAAAACATACTAAATTAGAATGGGTAATGTATATGGCTGTCTGATCTAATAGCCCCTAAGAATAATGGTTGTAAAAAATATTGTAATAAAATGTAGACATTGTAAAATATAATCTGGAAATCATCTTGAGACCCGAGATTCATTACTTTAAATACATTTATGTAAAAAAGAAAATAGAATTTGAACAATAGAAAATAATTAGCAGAAGGTTTTTATTTTGCAGATGCAGATAAATAATAATGATAATGGATATTTACTGTAATTGCTTATGCTGTATGTTTCTAATGAATCTTGTAAAATAGTTTGCCTCATCCACTTTTTATTCATCTCAGTAATCAGCATGTCTTTGATTGACCAACAATGTATGGTTGATTTTATTTATATATATATATATATATGTATGTCCAGTAAGTCTGCCCACCCCTGTGCCCAGCGCCGGTCGCAGTGGCAGTTAATTAGAGCATTTAGAGGCTGCAGAGCCCAGGCCCGTAACATGCACTTAGGGAACAGCATTAACCTTTGGGGCAGGGTGCTGCTGCTTTGATATGTGGCCTGTTTACAGCTCGCTGCCCTCTCCCAAGGCGTTACGTTACAGGTGCTTGGCGGTGGACTCACACTAAATATAGGCTCCATGCAGGACTCCTTTGGAATGGGACACACTCACTGCAGGGGTTTGCTCACAGAGGGCAAGGAGCATGTTTGTTTGTGTGAGTTATAGTCCTCTTAACTCTTCAAGATAACTTTCCAAATAGTCTAGTCAAGTAAGGCTGTAATACAGAGTGCCCGAAGGAAACCCACCTAGACACAGGGAGAAACCCACCTAGACACAGGGAGAAACCAATGAACTCCACACAGAAAGGCTCAGTCGGCACTGGATTTGAACCAACAACCTTCTGAGCAACTGTGCCAAAATCATTACATTGAATACATGCCTTTGTTATATAATGCACAATATAACATGTTTATACAGCACAGTGGCTGAGTAGACAGTACTCCCCGCTCTCAGCAAGGTCCTGGGTTCATATCCCAGTCGGAACTATAAATATACGTAGTGACGCCTATTTCCTCCATTGACATGTATGTGTGACCAACATGCACAATTTGTGAAAATGTGCAAAAACCTCATTTGTGCATGCGTTGCTAACATGATCATTAAAAAGTCCACAGCGGCTTAACTAGGCTGGTCCAAAAAAATGCATTGACACACATCTGGAATGTAGTGTTGAGCCAAGGGCCGACTTTTGGACCAGGCTGTAAAGGAGTTTTTTTATGCCGCTTTTCCACAGTAACGGTGCGCTTTGTATCGTATATTAGAGAGAAAAAGGCGCCATAAGAATTCATTGGATAATTCTATTTCCGGGTACACCCCCACTGACAAGGAGTCAGATTATAGGCATGTAAGCACATGTGCTCATGGACCGTTTTGAGCCAGGACCGGCCCCCACTGGTCTGAACAGGGTGAAAAAGGGCCATTCTGAGTGGGGTTAGCATGTTCTCCCAGTGACTGTGTAGGGCCCTCCGGTTTCCCCTACCACTAAAAACATGCGCAATAGGTAATATCCTTCAGTCCAGGTAGTCCTGGCCAAGCCAAGCATCAAAATCTGAAGATGGGTTCCTTGGCGCTGTACTACGGCGACCACTGCTCCTGACAGACATTCACAGGACGGGTCAAATGCAGAAGACAAAGTTCCCTACTGGGATAAATAAAGTGTGCATTTACATTTGTTTTCTAATAAAAAAGTAGAGAAAAAAAGATTTATTGTTGCAATATTCAAAGAGTAACTAAGATTTAGTTGGAAACGTAGGGTACTTAGTGGCAGAAGGAGTTAGTTCATACTTAATACTACTTTGAAGAAGGAGATGGCATGTTGAGGTCTAATTGGTTCAAAATGTTTTGCTTATCCTACCTTGTAGTAGAACAAACAAAATGTATTGTTTATGAACCCAAAAAGAGTTACAGAAAAGTAGAGCTTTAAATGCATCAAGATGTGAAATGGTCCATCTGGTTTTGCTTCATCATTTGCAAAAACTATGGCTGCAAGCAACAAGGTCCTGGTGTAGCTTCTTTGAAAATCAATTTGAAAAGGCGCAACTTTAGCTGTTCAGACTTAAAAGTACATAATCCTGCTATTGCCTTGCACAAAAGCTCTACAGATAAGCTCTGGAAGGTTTTGTGTAAATATAAAGACTTTTTATCAGTAGTGAGCATATTGAAGTATAGGGATTTCGTTGTAAGTAAGTCACTACAATCAAAGTGAAAAGGTCTCCACTGCCTCGCTCTCTTTATTGAATTTGTTTTTGAACAATAAAAGTGGAAGTGTCATGACTGAAGCGTGTTCAAATACATGTTTGCAGGAGCCCACAGAGTATGGACCGGACTGTAGCTTTGAAGAGTGGTACCTGTGCCTTTGTTGCGATCCACGAAGCAGTACTTCAGCTCGTACTCTTTCAGTATTTCATGGACTTCCTGCACAGAAAGAGATACAAAATAAATCAGTTAAAAAAGTCTGCAATTTGTTTATTATTAGATAACTTTGCCATTTTTAGATCAATTTATTAGCTATGTACCTGCATATACAATTTATTCGCAATGGATCATCAAACTACTGTACATATGTCTTTTTTATAAAGTCTAAATAGAAAAGACAAATATATCATTACAATTTGCACTTACATTGATAAGTAAGTAAGTAATCTTTATTCATATACCGCCTTTCACAGACCAGAGTCACAAAGCAGTTTACAATTGTTATTTTTTTTGATAAATAATGAGTTGATAATTGTAATTAAACAGATTTTTTTTCCATTGTAATCATGAAAAGACAGTGGGGACAAAAAACATATTCTTCCTCCTTAAAAATGCAAAAAAGACATTTCCCTTTGTGCACACCTCATCATCAAAACAACATATTCAATGACTCTTATTCCTACATGTGGCAGTAATTGGTCAGAAATAGTAATTATGGATTTTAAAAAGGGCATTTTCATCTGAAAAGCTTCATCTGCCGCAGGTTCACAATTACAGCAGTCGGTTCCAGCACGTAAGAGGAGATTTTAATACGGCTGTGAGTTCATAAATCTGAACATGATAAAATGTTGGATGTGTAAAGTTAGCTGCTTGTATCATGGTGTTTTGCAGCAACTGAAAGCAAATGAAAACCTGTAATTTTTATTTTTTTAACTTTAATTTTTTCATTTCAAACTTGATTTCAAAACGAGGGTTAGAAAATAAACACCTCATGCTTCATACCAATTTCAATAGCAATTATCTACAAAATGTATTATTGCTGTATTTGGGAATGGGGGGTAGGAATTACACATATATATATAACCATAAACATATTTGGAACAATATTGTAAGCATGCAGTTATTGAATGTAATTCAACTGACACTTGATGAACAGGCAAAGGTCTCCACAACTCATTCTGTGGATGAAACTGAAACGAACAGAGCCCGTGGGGAGTAGAACCACAACATATTTGCCAGCAATGAAATCTGCTAAACTCTTTCTCTGGTTTCAATTTCTTCATATTTGAAGACGAACCAGGACGGAATACTTTACTATCCCATTCGCTGCCATTTCCAAACTACAACCAACAAATTGTTGCAAACCCTTAACGCCCACCAATCCCCCCCCAGACCCACACGTACATGTAGGAAATGTTAATTGACCGGAGTTCACGGACGGCTAAGACCAAGCTAGAAACAACTCTGAATATAAGAAAAACAAAAACTGTAATGTTATACCACCATGTAATGTCGATCAATTGAAATAAAAGTGCTTGCTTTATGAAGACCATTTCTCACACTCTGTAAATGTGGTAAACTGTTCCGCTGGCTCTTCACCGTTACATAACCGATGACAGAACACATTGATTTGAGAAACAGAAGAATCTTTACATAATAATCAGCAGAAACAGGATGAGAGGCAGTGTTTGTTCAGTGCTTTAAATGTCCAAGACAAGTCTTCATATCAGGTGGTGATAAGGACAAAATAGTCATCAAGTAAATAAGTACGTTCTTATTTATATAGCGCTTTTCACAGACCAGAGTCACAAAGCGCTTTACAATTGTTGTGAGCATTTGTCTCTCACTCCACACAGAGATGGGAGTGAGGTCGTCAGTACAGGAGGCGCGGGGAGAACATACAAACTCCACTTAGAGAGGCACTGTTCTGACCGGGAATCGAACCCAGGACCCCCATTAAACTATCGGGCTGAAGCTGAACAAACATTTCCTGTGTGCACATTTCTCAAAACAACTGTTTTTTCTATTGATTCAATGCATCAAAAACATCTCATACAAACATCACAGCCCATCGTAAGAAACTAATAATAATAATAATCTTTATTCTAGACTCAAGGTCCATGACAATACAAGGGCACCACAAGACACTATAACACTTACTATATGCTATAAATGTCATGTGTTAGAAGTTCCCCAACCTGCAATCTGATTACATTAAGGCATTACTGACCACCACTGCTCACAATAAACAGATCTGTGTGTAGTGTTTGTGTCATGACTTATAACCAGCAAAAGGCTTCAGTCTTTTCACATTCTGCACAGAGATCATAGATGAGGCTCATTAGGAATAAGTTAAAACAGCAGTTTTACTTTCACAACTTGTTTTGGAGCCAATTTGTAAATGGCAAAACACAGCCAAAGCAAAAGAAGATTTTATTTGTTCAGCAGTTGAGCTGTGACAGTGAGCAGACCAAAAGTTATTGCACCACTGTCACTGTTTGAAGATTTTATTCCAAACATCACAAGCACAAATAATGTGTGTCGTTGTGTTGCTGTTGTCTTTGGTCATAACAGAAAAGTAGGAACCCGGAATCTATCAACTAAGCTGTTTTTATTGTCCAGACCTTCTACACAACTGTATGAATTTTGTTTTACATTAGTTTAAAAAAATAAAAAAAATATTTTACATCTATAGTGAGAACAATACAATATCAATAATGATCATATGATAGAAGTATTGCTATTATTCATCAAATACATACTATCCATCCATTTTTTTTGCGTTAGGGTTTACCCTAATCCATTTCTGGGTCAAGGGGTGGCAATCAGCTGCCACCGAATCCACAGAGCACCAGCCCCTCACTGATCCTCCTGCAGGTGGGGAGTCCACAGGAGGACGGCTGCTCTGTCTGTGAGAGCTTAGCCTTGATCTTTCAGCAGGGGCTTCAGGCTAAGTGGGGTTAAGTGTCTTGCCCAAGGACACAAAGACAGCAGACATCAGTGGCAGACGGAGAAGGTCTTCAGGCTCAAAGGTCAATGCTCTACCAACTGAACAAATAGTAAATAACACATGTACTAACACCTTCTTAATCATTTTTATTCTTTTGTATTGTATTTTCTAACCCTAACCCAAAAAAAATGGTGTGGTGATGAGTGCACATACTGAACATGGCAACCTCTTTGCAAATCTAACACACCTAGGGCAAAAAGTAAATCATGTTGGTATCTTAATGTTGGTAATTTGGTGTCATTGTTCTCCCCGACTCCTCTGACCACGGCCACAGAGACACACACTGGTTCACTTTATTACAACATCATTTTAGAATATTGAGACATACATTTTACCCACTAGCATGTCTGATCAGAAAACAATGTGATAAAGTATCAAGGAACAACTGTAGTGTCTCCTTCACATCACCTGGCTCCAAATGGAAGCGATACATACCATTGTACCAACAAAATAAACATGCATGCACACGAACAATTATAAAATATGTTATAAGAAAGCTTAAGAAACCGCTCTTTCAATTCTCTGCAAGAATTGAGCCATTCTGTGATAGGACTTTACTGTGCAGACCTAATTTAAAACTGTCCCGTTTTTGCACACCCAGCAATAAATTGATTCCGCAAGTTTATACACAGGCTAAAAATAAGCAGTAGTAATCTTCAGGCCAGTTTATCAGCATTTTTATACATGGAGACAGTCTCCGTCTGTTTTCATCCAATTACTGCATAAACCTCGTGCTTTTATTCTGGGAATGTTCAAACAATGGCCCAAAAATGGTAAAAGGAAAGAACTTGCTCAATGTTATCAATGAAATCTTATTATGTAATACATAGTATATCATTTCTAATTAAGGAAAAGGATTAGAGAAATATATGCAATACACATGCAATAGAGCTGAATCAATTATTCAAGTTTAAACACTGTGAGAGTTCAGGGATATAAAAAGGGCTGGAGCGATATGAGAAGGAAATATCAATCAACAATTTCATTCATAACATAAAAAGCACTGGGAAAAATATTAAAAACCACAAAAATATGGCTTTTAACGCTGGGGCTCACGATTCGATTATGATCAATCTATCCATCCATTTTCTTCCCCTTAATCCATTTCTGGGTCGGGGGGTGGCAGTCAGAGCTGCACCCAGTACACAGAGCACCAGCCCCTCACTGATCCTCCTGCAGGTGGTGAGTCCACAGGAGGACAGCTGCTCTGTCAGTGACAGTGCAGCCTTGATATTTCAACGGGGGCTTCAGGCAAAGTGGAGTTAAAGTGATTGTCTGGAGTTTGTCAGAAAGAGAGAGAGAGAGGTACTTGATTTGAAAAGAACGCGGGCTCCCTCCCCCTTCCTTTCTAATTGGTCTACACCTACGTTTCCGCAACACTTTTAAATGTTAATCAGAGAACACATTATACATGTACATTATTAATACACATGCACGGAGGTTTTCAAAATTATTTGTTAACATTTGAGTGAAAAAAATAATGTTTTTATGCACACAAAAATAATGTTTTTATGCACAAAAAAGCGACCGCGGCAAACCCGGAACAAGCTATTATCATGAATTGCACATTATAGGACACATCTGCAGAGGATCTGATTATGGATATAGGTTCAGTATATAAATGAGTAACTCAGCGCGGATGTTCAGAATTCTTTGTTCAGTTTTCATATAGTTCCAGTTCCCTAATAAAGGCTTGATTCGGGGGCTCCGCAAAAACAAACAACTGAGCATGCGCAGCTACGAGCATCAGCGCCGATGATTGACAGCCCTTGGCATGACTCGATTGGTTAACCTCGACGGCACCGTGGATTCTGAGCTATCGCTAAGAGCAGGGAAGGCGGGACTTGCCGGTAATATTAGAATTAATAAAATGACTTATTTTATATCAACATTTAAGGCCAGGAGGTCAATTTAACACATTTCCTAAAATTTGTAATTAATTTAGAGTTACAGACTATCACTTTAAGTGTCTTGCCCAAGGACAAAACGACAGCAGACATCAGTGAGAATTGGTGGAGAAGGTCTTGAGGTGGTCTTGAACCCAAAACCTCCAGGCTCAAAGGCTAATGCTCTGAGCTACCGTGAATTATTGATGATTCTTTAATACATGTACTGTATATTGTTGCACTTTTTCCACAATGCCAGAGTTAAATTAATTTCCATTATCTGCTATTACCTTTATAAAAAAATATCTATTGGAATGGAAATG